ACAAGAGGCATTTGTTTAAATATTGTAGGATCAATATATGAACATTTCTATAGGCATTCATTTGTAAGGGCATTCCCAAATTGTGTATTGAGGACTAACTGTACAGAACTAGGAAAGTGGCTCTCGGCAAATATTCAGAAACGTTTGTGTAAACAAAAAGGACAAAAACAGCCTCCTTCTTGACTTACTCCTCTATAAGAGGGAAGGCAGGAGAGAATAGGGTTTGAGTTATTCTCCAAAGCAGGACAAGAAATAACCAGGAGAAAAATCATTAAAGAGAGCTCCAACCTAAAACCAAGCAGAAATTTCCAGACAGTGAGAACAATAAATCAGTAGAATGACTTATCTCTGTAATCTGTGGATGTTCCATCATTGAAGGTTTTAAAGAACAGGCTGGGCAGCCATTTGTCCAGAATGATATAGGGTCTTCTGCTTGAGCAAGGGGTTGGATTAGAAGACCTCCAAAATCCTTTCCCCTATTATTCTATTTTCATGATCATGCTTGCAAGATTCTGTTACTATAACCCATCCAATATAGTTTTGGTCTTCCCTTTGAATGTGTTTCCTGATCTGGTTTACCTTGAAGGATTGACAGTAAAAAAGGTTTTTCTGGATTGTTGCTGAGGGATTTATATAATTTATCACAGAATTACTGAAACAAAGCTATTTCTACTCAAATGAATACTGCAGAAACCAATTTGAACTTCCGTAGACAACATCACTATCTTTAATGACAAAGCTTCTCGAGGGGAATTTCTTAAGCTATGAATGTGATCCTGTCAGAACTGCCATCACATGCTTGAACTTCGCATTTACTAGCTGCCAGTCTGCCATGAACTCTGGGGGAGAGAGCTGGTCAGGAGAGCTGGGGAAGGCTCATTGTGTCTTCCAGAAACACCATCATAAGGTCAAAGCACTGGGAATGGAATGCAAAGGCTTATCAACCAAGCTGCTGTTGAAGAGTCAATTTCCTCCAAAGAATCTATTCAAATATAATTGGACGATAAGGGACCAGCAAGGAGAAGAAACTAGGGAGGAACTGAATTGAGAAAGTTAACTCAGAAAGTTTGGCACGTGAACTTCAATCCTGGCTTTGCTGTACTGTAATCCACTTGGCCTTTAGTAAAGTAAACCTTTCACCCCGAATGGAGTGAGGGTCATTCTTACTTAAGGGATCAAGTTAGGGCAGGACTGACATATTCTTTCAATAGAATGCAAACCTTTCCAGCCTAAGGAAATGCAGCTACCCAGACTATGCACCTGCTAATAAAGTCTTTGTCTTTCCAGGACTGAGCTTCAGTTTATTGGTCCTTATCTACTCCCTCATTGCAGCCAGGCATTAATTAAACATTTTCCTTATCTTTTTTTCTGGTAAAGATCATCCTGCAGGACAATCAAGGCAATTTGTGTGCCAAAATAAAAATAATCTATAAAACCCATTTTATGAGAAAAATGTTTCACAGTAAATTCTTTCTTACTAGAACAAGATAAGTATTCTGCCATTCTATTTTTGCTTTTTATATTGCTCAGAGTTTGAGAAAATAAATGGTTTTTGAAACAACATTCCCACAACTACAAATGATTTCATTTTTCTCTTCTAGATTATTGTTTCTATATTACACATTCTTTTACTCTAATGTCAAGTTGTCTATGGAGGGGGAGGGCAGAGAGCCTCCTGCAACAACAACTTCTTTGACATCATAGGTTCCCTGTGGTTGCTTCCTTAATTATTCAATTAAAAATGTTTCTTTTCATGACAGCTGCTACGTTGCACAGTACATATGCTGACTCTTAGATATAGAACAGCTTTCAAGAAACAACTGCCAATGCTTTTCATAACTTTCATATCCAATGTTATAAAATCATCTGCTTGGTTGTAGCAGTTTGACTCCATAAAAGTGGAGGAGATGGTTTATAATTGGGCTGGAAAGTAACCTAAAAATCATGATAGGCAGTGCTCTATTAACTCTGTGTAAATCCCCACCCCACCCCAGCTTTGAAATCAACCAATATTAACTTGGGTGCTTCCATTTCCTGAGACATATCTTTATTAGGACTAACATTCGATTTTCCACAATTATCTAGAATCTTTAAGGAATTTACATATCTTATCTTCAATCACAAAATGTTCCATATAGCTTATAAAGGTTAAATAATTAAATATAGTATATAAAAAAATTAAAAATTGCAAACCAGCCAAAGCAAGCAGTATTTAAATACTGATAAATATAATTGTTTACTTAGAAAGCAAGCATATTATTATCAATAGCATCTACTCTCAGGTGAGTATGAATAGGATTACAGTCTTTTTTCCCCCGATTTAAAACATGTAGAAGAATAAAATGTGACTCAAATGGATAATTAGGATGCTAAGAATACTTCCCTAGCAAGAAAATGATAGATATTATTAACACAATTCTTCTTGTTCAACAACTAATTGATAACCTACAAAGTTGTTTATGAAATAGATTAAGCTATTTTTCCAAAGTTGAATTTATCTATCTTATCAGAATATGATGAAAAGGCTGTTTAGATCCTCCCACTATATGAGATGACTGAGGGAGAAATCAAATGCATCATCAACCTTGAGTACTTTCATACCCACAAGAAATCTAAGTCCAGCCCACCTTGAATTTCATTGACTCTTTTAAAATCAATTATTGCATCAGAACACTGTTTGGGAGAGCGGAATCCCATTGTAACACCACGGAGGCCTGATCAGCAGAACAAAAACACCTATACAAAGTCTTTGAGAGAAACAGATACCCATGAAACTTCTGGAGATGCCTACATACAAACCACACAAACATTCAAAGCAATGAAACAATGATAACCGAAGCAACAATGACCAAACAAATCACAATCCCTTATGTATAGAATGTCTCAGAAATGACAGCAAGACTACTATGCTAACATGATCTTGTAGTAGCCCACAAACCAACTTCAATTCTCAGATGGACCCTCTCAAAACTGAAAGGGCAGACAGAAACAAATCAAAGATCAGGCATGAAATACTGTACCAAATCCAGTGTAGCAACTGCAAAAAGAACTATGTTGGACGAACAGAAAGAAAGCTATCAACCAGACTGTATGAACACTTACTGGCTATCAAAAAACATGACACACTATTCCTCATGTCTGTCCATGAAAATCACCAATTTGATCTAACTGGGACCACAGTTGTAATCCATGAGAAATCAAAGAGAGAAAGAGAATTCCTTGAAGCCTTGTTTTCTCCAATAAGTCAATAAACAGACACATTGACATGAACCCAGTCTACCAATTACAGAGAACGAAAGAACTGCATCAACCATGATCCCAATGGTAAATCATTGGCTTACAAGAAATCGGACTTCGTGTCAGTAACCAACAGCCTAACTACCAACCTACTAATACTCAAACACATTTCATTGACTGCCAATATGCTATGACTGTTGGTAATTCAGATACTTGTAAAGAGTAGCATACAATAAAGCTGTAGTCATTGAACCACCTTTCTTCCTGATTTCTTTCATCTGACAATAATCTAAACTATTCATCAACGACAAAAATTTTCATGGACTCAAAACACCTACATAATGTCATCTGATCCCAGAGCTGCATCAACAGCAGATGATCCAGACATGCATATTATGAGCAGGTTTCAAGCCAGTTTGGAAAACAAGGCGAGAAATTTAGAAGCTAATATGCATTCAATTCAGCAGGTACAAGTCCTGATGAAGTCTAGCAACCTCCCCAGCCTACCACACCCACATAGAGCCAATTGTCAGTGGCTGCTATGCTAATAATCTAAGATTCCCAGTTGCCTACTGCAGAAATTCACTGGGGAGTCTGCCATGATAAAAACATTCCTAACACAATATAAAGTATTCATCGGCATCTGGCCAGGGGTGTTAAGTATTGCCTTATATGGCCATAGATTAGCAGACTCTACTCATTGGCCCAGCCACCGGTGGGAGAAATAAAGTCCCATCAGTGGCTGAAGCTTTGTACAGCGCCGGCTACAAAAGCCGATGCCTGCCCCGGCTGAGCAGCTTTTGCTTAAATTACTATAAGAGTTTTACCTCTTCCTGTTGCGTCCTGCCTCCTTACTCAGTGAGCCCACTTAACAAGGGGAATTTCCTAAGTCTACTTGTTGAGTCAGTCAACTTGTTGACTATTCTCAGCCTGCTTGTTGACTCTGCTGGCATTTCCACTCATCAGATACAGTGACTTCATCCTAGATAACTTCCAAAGTTCCTTACCAGATATCAGAAACCCTATTCGGATAGAGACTGCTGATCAATACCTCTGCCAACTTCACTAAGGCAACACCACTGTGAGAACTTTCATTGAAAAATTCAAGTTATTTGCTGTTGAGTTAGATTGGACAAGCTAGCCCCGATCTCACTGTTCAGAAGTGGGCTAAACAGGAGTATTGCCAAAGAACTGATTGGACAAGGAATCCCCTGTACATTACAGTACATCTACCTGGCCTCTATAACAGCTGAATCATGCCTCACAGAAATCTGCCAACTTTATAAGCCTTGCCACAGTTCAGAAGCTCAAGATCCTCACTATCCCTTTGAAGTTTCCATTGCAAGTAAAAACTATTGATAACCAAATCTTAAAATTAGATTCAGTCACTCAAGCCACAATGCCATTGCAATTAATTTTACACCAGCATTAAAAAAAATATAACTTTTTGTGGCCAACTACCTTGATCTCCCACTGGTGTGGGAACTACTTTATTGCAACATCATGACCGCACTATTAGATGGAAAAAAAATAGTCTATTTACTCTATTACCTGACAGCCCTTATCGCCTTTCTCACTGCAATTGGCCATCAGAACCCCCACCAGACACCCCTGAAATTTACCAGAGAGATTCCCAATCTCCCAAGCAAGTTGGCAGACTACAGATGTCTTTGGAGAGGAAGAAGTATCAATCCTTCCCTCACACAATCAGACTGTGATTGTGCCATATACCTGATGCCTGGTGCCAAAATTCCTGCCAAGAGGGAGTACCAAATGTCAATTAAGGAATTAGAGACCCTGAAACAGTATTTGAACTTTAAGATTTATATGATCATCCAATCACCATCCTTGACTCCCACCTTTTTCGTACCCAAGAAACAAAATTCCAGCACACCAATCAAGAGCAGGGATCCCCCTCTGAGAATTGTTCACAGCTACTAGACTCTTAACTCAGTAACAGTGAGAGACCATTACCAATTGCCATTAAGATGAGGATATATTGGACAGATTACAAAGGGACAATTTTTTTTATGAGACTAGACATTTTCATACTTACCTCATTAGAATAAAAAAAAGGCCACAAATACTTAAGAGTCTGCAACATCAGATAAAACAAATTTGAAATACACTGTGGTCCCATTTGGGTTAGTAAATGTAGAGGCCATATTTTCTAGATTTATGAACCAAGGTTTTTCTGATCTCATTGATAAATTTGTGGTTCTCTATCTGAATGGCATTATCATCTATTCTGAGAATGAGGATCAGCACATAGACAATACATGTTCTTAGTAGACTGAGAGACAATTGTCTTTTTGCAAGTCAGAAAAATGTACCTTTGATCTGCAAATACTAGACTTTTGGGGACATATAACTAGAATGAAATACTAGCCCAAATCTGCAGGGATGGAGTCAGGAAGGCTAAAGGAAAGAATGAACTAAGACTTGCAACAAATGTCAAAAATAATTTTAAAAGTACAGGAAAAAGTGAAGGAAATGATGGGCCAGTAGAAGAGAATAGAATTCTTTATTGGCCAAGTGTGATTGGACACACAAGGAATTTGTGTTGGTGAAAATGCTCTCAGTGTACATAAAAGAAAAGATACATTCATCAAGAGTCAAGAATCATAAGGTACCACACTTAATAATAGTCATCGGGTACAATAAGCAACCAAATCATACTAGGAAACTGTCAATATAAATCGTAAGGATACAAGCGATAAAGTTACAGTTATACAGTCACAAATGGGATATGATGGGTGATAAGGAGTGATGAAAAGATTAATAATAGTAGTGCAGACTTTGTAAATAGTTGGACAGTATTGAGGGAATTATTTGTTTAGCAGAGTGATGGCATTTGGGAAAAAAACTGTCCTTGTGTCTAGTTGTTCTAGTATGCAGTGCTCTATAGCAGGGGTTGCCAACCTTTTGGACCTCAGGGACCACCAGACTCATAATTTAAATCCCAGGGACCACTATCTGGTTCTGTGGGCATGGCCTAATTTGTGGGTGTGGCTTGGTGGTCATGTGACTGGCTGGGCATGGCTTGTATGTAAATATTATACATATTTATATAAATATTGAATTTTTTATTAAAAAAGAGCAACTTTTACCCAAAATCAGGCAAAGCAGGCAAGCAGATTGAGTTGCTCACAGAATCACAGATTAATTCAGAGATCTATCTATCTGCCATCAGCTAGCTCAGTCTGTCACATAAAATTTGCTTGCAAACTCATAAAATTTGCTTTCAAGCAAACTCATAAAATTTGCTAGCAAGCAAACTCACAAAATTAACTCACAACCCACCATATATGTAAATATTGATTTTTTTTATAAAAAAAGAGCAACTTTTACCCAAAATCAGGCAAAGCAGGCAGGCAGACTGAGTTGCTCACAGAATCATTCGGTGATCTATCTATCTACCATTGGCTAGCTCAGTCTCTCAAATTTGCTTGCTGTGAGTCTGTGCTAAATAATAGAACCTCAGTCCTAAGAGATGTTCGGCTGTGCTTAAAAGCAGAGCCAAAGATCTAAAGACTAGCTAGAAAGCAAGAAATCCAACCATTTCCTGCTTCCTAACTAATCTCAATCTCTACAGCAGAACATCTGATGGTCAGAAAAAGGAAAAATAGCAATTTAGGAGGCAAGTTTGCTGGGTAAGGAGCGAGTGGGTGGGGAGGGTTCCCGTGGACCATGTGGGTGGCGCAGCCTTGTGTTTCTGCTCAGTCTGGATTAATTGCTTTGGTGGGTGTGCTCTGGGGGTGAGATTTCTCTGTGGCCCACCAAAAAATTTTCACGGAACACGAGTGGGCCACGGCCCGCTAGTTGGTGACTGTTGCTCTACAGTTTGTTTTGAGGGTAGGAGTTGAAACATTTTATGTTTGGGATGTGAGGGGCCTGTAAATATTTTCACAGCCCTCTTTTTGACTCATGCAGTATACAGATCCTCAGTTGAAGGCAGGTTGATAGTAATTGTTTTTTCTGCAGTCCTAATTACTCTCTGGTCTGTCTTGCTGGGTTGCAGAACCAAACCAGACAGTTATAGAGGTGCAGATGACAGACTCAATAATTCCTCTGTAGAACTGTATCAGCAGCTCCTTGGGCAGTTTGAGCTTTCTGAGTTGGCACAGAAAGAACATTCTTTGTTGTGCTTTTTTGATGATGTATTTGATGTTAGGGGTCCATTTTAGGTCTTGTGATATGATAGAACCTAGAAATTTGAAGGTCTTTATTCTTGGTACTGTGTTGTCTAGTATTGTAAGAAGTGGTAGTATAGGAGGGTTTCTTCTAAAGTCTACTACCATTTCTACAGTTTTCAGTGTATTCAGTTCCAGTTACACCACAAGGCAAGTTGTACAACCTCCTGTCTGTATGCGGATTCATCTTTTGTCTCGAATGAGACCAATCATGGTTGTATCAACTGCAAACTTCAGTATATTAACAGATGGGTCATTTGAGATGCAGTCATTGGTATATGGGGGAAGAGAAGTGGAGAAAGCACACAGCCTTGGGGGCCCCCTGTGCTAATTGTACAGGTATCAGATATAATTCTGCCTAGCTTCACCTGCTCTTTCCTGTCTGTTAGGAATGGGAAAAGATGATAAGAAGGTGACAGGCAGCAGGAAGAAAGTGAAGGTGCTTAATTCCTTCTTTGCATCTGTTTTGATCCAGAAGGAAAAAACAGCCAACCCAGCAGAAACAGCACAATGGGAGAGAGGACAAGAATGTAAACCAAATAGGTCAGAAATTGGTTAAAAACTCCTAGACATTTTAGAAGAGTTCAGATCACCAGGAGCTGACAGAGGTGATCTCAAAACCACTGAATGAAGTCTTTCTAAGCTCCTGGAGCATGGGGTAATTGTCAGAGGTCTGGAAAAAGGTTGCATTCTACAAGGGGAAAAATATGGTTCTAAGAAATTACAGACCCATCAGGTTGACATCAATACTAATTAACCTATATGTGAAAATATCAAAAACTATCATTCAAGTTACACTAGTTGTTTTGAAGAATATATTTATGTATGTTATGAGCATTCATAACATTATAAATTATAAACAGACTGTTATGTGTGTTCAAAATGCAGCAAGATGCCCAAAATAGCACTCTTAAAATTCTGGATTGGATTCCTAGAAATGTTAAATTATTAAATGGACTTGAACATTCATCTGAGCTGTATAACATCTGGGACTTAAATCTAAGTTTAAAGTGTTTTATGGCAGCAGAACAGAGTTAGAATCAGAATGAACTAAGATAAAAGCAGTGTTATTCGGTATTGAAGCATTGATTGATGAATCTGTATTCTAAAATTATTAAGGCATTAAGAAAATACATAATGTGCAAGAGACTTATGCAATTCAAATTTAATAAGAAATTAGAGAATAAGGCAAGTACTTGAAATTGAAAACAAATTGATCAGCAATCCCTATATATAAATTATAATAATTAAAATGATATATCAAGAAAACAATACATTGAGAAGTTCTTATAAACATCAGCAAAATCTTCAATCAATTTCATCTGATGAATGATATGTCTTATTTTGTAATAATACTCCTAACATGTGAGTTCTCTGCACACAAACTGCTTTTTTTTTAACGCCTCCCTTCCAGTTCCTTCATACTGTGTCATGTCAAAATATGTCCTTCACGACTCTCTGTCTAACATTGGTTCCTCTTCACAGTTAAACATCAACAGGTTCCATTTACCCTACACCACATCTCCCTTTTCTAGAGAACAAAGGGTAGACTACCTTTGTCTCACCAGACCTTAGAGGATTATTCTGCCTCTTTTGTTGAAGGTCTGGTCCTATCTAAATCCTGTTGGGAAGAAAATGTTATCATATAACTATTTACTACTCCAATACACTTAACTGTGTTTAAACTATTCTGCACCTCAGATTTCTTACTGAACTACACATCAACATGAACTCTTTTTCACTTTCTCAGTTCACAGATTCAGTCTCTCTGGTTTAACTATAGCTCTCCCAGACCTTGTCCTTGGGGTAGCTGTCACACTAGGAAAGTTTTTAAATATTTTCTCAGGTGATGTAGAAACTTGTTCACTGTTTGTCTCTGACAACTCCTGCTGCTCCACCGTTCCTCCTTCATTTGCATGTGTGTAAGAGTATCAAGTGCTGACAATTGCATCTCACCACACCTTTAGGTACATCCACCAGATATGACCTTGGACTCATGTGATTCTGCAGCACAGTCCCAGATTCTTTTATATCAGTGACCCATACATGCTCTCCTGGTACCAAATCACTAAGAGGTTTTACACAATGTCTCCTGTTGAAGTATTCAATTTCCTCTTCTCTCTCTCTTTATGAGCAAAATGGTCAACATCTGGCAATGCTGGGTCTAGCTGAGAGGGAAGAGTCAGCACAGTGGTACAAAGACGTCGCCCCATAAGCAGCTGAGCTGGACTGAATCCACTCTGGAGAGGGGTAGCTCTGTAGGCAAGCAGGGCCAGATAAGGGTCACTAGCCTTTTTCAAGAGACTTTTCACTGTCTGAACTGCACGTTCAGCTTCTCCATTACTTTGTGGAAACTTTGGACTGTTGGTAATGTGTTTGAACCCATATGTGGATGCAAAATGAGAAAAATCTTGGCCAGAAAACTGTGGTCCATTATCTGACATCAACTCCTCTGGAATCCCATGCCAGGCAAAGATTGACTTCAGATGGACAATGATATCAGTTGACTTAGTGTTTGATAGCAGTGCAATCTCGACATATCTGGAGAAATAGTCTATCACAACCAAGTATGTTTTCCTTCCAAGTACAAACATATCAGTCCCTAACTTTTGCCATGGCCTTTCAGGGCACTCAGATGTCATGAGTGGCTCTTTAGGATTCTGATGCTCTTGAATACATGTCCTGCATTTGAC